TGTCACTGTGAAACTGAATGAATGAGGGTATGACTGAAACTGACAGCACTACTATAATAGATGTCACTGTGAAACTGAATGAATGAATGAGTGATGGTAAACAGAATCCACAGATAGATGCAACTGTGAAACTGAATGAATAGGCAATAGTAAATAAAAGTCACAGACAGCGTGATTGACAGAAATCCAACCTTTTATTTAAAACACAGATACATTGCTACCAACATTCTAACTATGGAAATAACAAGACCAACGCCTTTTGAATAATGCAAGGACAAATCAGACGGACACTCTAATCTGAGATAACAAGGTGTAGAGCTGGATGAACACAGCAGGCCAAGCAGCATCAGAGGAGCAGGAAAGCTGATGTTTCGGGCCTAGACCATTCTTCAGACACTCTAATCTCATTAGAGTAACCACTAGCATTAGCGATAACCGTTAACACTCAACAATAACCGCTAACACTTAGCAAGTGTTTAAACCATCTCCGATTTACTGCTAAACAGTTTTTGTACAACAGCCATTGCTTAGCAATGAAGTGTTAGAATGTTGATGTATGCTCAAATTCTGTATAAAAGAGGCTACTTTTGAGCTATGATTTTGGGATTCTATTTTCGCCACTCACTGATCTTGGTCGTCTGGTTCTTTAACTGCGATCTCTCAACTTGGTGTAGTTGGCTGGACGCTGGGGGGACACTGCCAAAACTGACCAGTTATGGATGTTATCAGAAGGTAAGCAGCACCCTGCTCAGTCATGATCTAGTCCCAGAATGTGGCCCAAATCTCTCGTGAGCATGCTAACTTTTCAGATCCCCCACACTTAGAGCTAGAATGTTCAAAATCAACTGAAATAGGTCTAGGACAAGGAGTCCACAGAAAGACATTGTCTACGGCGCATGATTTTGGATCGTCATGTGTGACCCCAGTAAGCTGTCTACAACCTCCAAAGGCAGGCTTGCCCTGCCTGACAGAATGGAGGAAGAAACGCTGTGGCAGCTACTACAGTAATTTGACATAAAATTTTCGTTAGAGGAGACTCTAAATAGAATCGAGCGGAAAGGTAATGTTCCAAAAGGACTGTAGTCCCTGGAGAACATGAAATGGGTCTGGAGAAAGAACCAACAGGCAGAAGAATAAGGACAGGGTTAAATGGTCCCTTACACTGATGGCACAACTCAGCCGAAGAAATGAAATCATGACCCGATCAGCCCATGATCAAGAAGCAAATAATCTTAAAGGTCAAACAAATGCAATGCACGAATAGCTGCAGAAGGAAAGATCCAGACAGGAGGAAGTTGAGCTTAAAAATCAGGAGCTTGTAAAGGAGAACAAAAAACTGAAGGAAGAGCTGACAGGTTTGTCAGTTGCACCCCCCCTCCCCACCACCCCACCACCCCCAGCTCCCAAGCCAATAGGGAATCTGTACCCAACCACCCGTGATGTCCAGGAAGTGTTTAAGTGAAATAAAGACGTAGCTCTTGAGACCCAGGGATCCTCTAGCAGTGACAGTGATGAAGACTCTATATCCCCAACACCATTTTTATGACCCCTTAAAACCAAAAAGGTAAAAATGAGAAAATCGTGAGGCAAAGAGTAGAGGACAGCAGGAAGTTGGATGTTCCAGTTAGGCAGACTGAAAACCACATCATACATGTTCCTGCGACCCCTGAAAACATTAACAGGTGGTCTGAAGAAATGTCTCACCCAAAGAAAGGGCCAGTGAAAACCTGGAAAAGTCTAGACCGGTTAAGGGGAATATACCTGCTCCATCCCTGAGACAGGGTACAAATTCTGACTGTAACATTTACCAAGAGAGAGGGATGCCGCCTCCATGAGGTAGTCAAAGGTGCCCTCAGGGAATATGAGCAGGAGCTGCAAGCTGGCTGGACAGCAATGAAACAGTGGCTACAGGGAT